GGGTCAGTACCTACGGGTGGGCAAAGCAGTGACTCCACCCATGCCCCTAATGACCCCCGCGACCCCTGGTGGTCTGCCAACTGCTGCAGCTGTGGCTGCAGCGGCAGCCACCGCTAAGATTACGGCCCAGGCAAGTATAAACCCCTTTCAAAGGGATTTAATGGCCTTCCAGGTAAATATAACCCAGATCTGGCTAGAATTGACACCAAAAGCACAAATAATATGGGCATAGAAAATTCTATTGAGGTGACTGGGAGAAGGCCAGTTTTGTAAGGGATCATGAAAACTGCAGTTTGCCATTCAGTGTCAATTTTACCCCTAAGATATCAGTCAATCTGGGCTTAATCTTTGTCCTTCCATTTTAATGTTCTCCAAAAAAATTCCAAAGATCGAGTTGTACTTTTTTTTGTACACTTGATTGTAAAGTAAGTCAGCTCCTCCCAGTCACTGACTGGGTGTGTAAGCTAAGAGTTCTCTCTCTTAGTTTGCACAAACACATTTAACGATACTTTCAAGTTGACAATGACTAACAAGACAGTTGTGTTCTCAGTAATTATTATTATTAGTAATTATTTGAATGTAAAAATCAGTATACAGTATGTATGACCTGCTAAGGAAAATAAATATGTTTAATAAATGTGTACTTAAATAATGCTTGTAACTTTGATTCTCACTAAAGAAAGTCCAGGTTGAGTGACTCTCTGTGCCATGCTGTTTGATCGTTGACTGTGCTGTGTTCTGTGTGTTTCCCTTACCTAATGTCTCCGGCCCCCTGTCACTTAAGGAGGCTGTAGCCGGCGCATCAGTCCTGGGGGCGTTAACACACTCACTTCTTGGTCCACAAATGGGAATTCCCCAGGCTGTCATGGCTGCCCAGGCACCAGGGGTCATCACAGGTGTGTACCAAAACATGAGTGAGTGCTCATTTCTTTTTACCAAAATTACAAAATATATTGTGAACTTCTTCCTTTGTTTTGAACTATACTATACATTATATACACTTTAGGATATTTAAATTGACTGATGGGTTGATTACATGTGCTAGAATTTAGCTTGTCTTAGTTTAAAGATGAGTCATAATACTAACAATGTTCTGACCATTAGTGTGATCCAGTTTCACCAAATCTAAAAATCAAGACTTGATATGAGAACCTTAAGAAAATGTAGTCTTAAGTCGTTCCTTGGGGAAAGTCACTTGTTACAGCATTTCTGTGATAACATTGTCATGATTGTTGAAGTGTGTAATACATTAACACATCTGACATCACTGACTACCTGCCTTACTTTTAAAGGTGTGACTCCAGTGCGTCCTCCAATGCCAGTGCTTCCGCAGGTTGGTCTTGTCAACCCTGTGCTCGCATCACCGCCAGTCCTGTCTAATCAAGTCGGTGGTTCCAACCAGCAGGAGAGGAAAGAGGAGAAAGAGGAGATGCTACAGGATGGTACAGGGCAGGAGATGTTGAGTGACCAAGAGCACATGAGCATCTCGGGCAGCAGTGCCAGACACATGGTGATGCAGAAACTGCTTCGAAAATCAGAGGTGAGATATGAATTATAAGGATAAAAGATTGGATTTACTACTTTTTAATAATCCTGAAAATGATTTTACTCATTAAAATCTTTCCTGTCTAGTCCACGGTGATGGTGCTACGAAATATGGTGGGACCAGAGGACATTGATGACGACCTGGAGGGTGAGGTGACGGAAGAGTGCGGGAAATTTGGCGCCGTCAACAGAGTCATCATATACCAGGAAAAGCAAGGTGAAGAAGAAGATGCAGATATCATTGTAAAAATCTTTGTGGAGTTTTCCATGGCCTCGGAGATGGACAAAGCTATCCAGGCGCTCAATGACCGCTGGTTCGGAGGTCGCAAAGTTGTCGCAGAGGTGTATGACCAAGACCGTTTCAACAGCAGTGACCTCTCGGCGTAAAAGTGTCTGAAATGGTTCCCCTGCACCCATCCCAAAACCTGTGGCCCAAAATCATTCTAGCAGCAGTCACTGCAGCGAGAGATGCGGGCCTCGGAAACTTGTAATTATGTTTTTACCCCCCCACCCCTTTTTTTTTTTTTATTGCTGTTGATATTATTATAAAACGCCCCATTGGAGGATTCAACAAATATATTTACATGTCATTTTGCGTTGTGATCTGTGAAGACCGTCTTTTTTTGGTGCAAATTCAAATTTTATAATCCAACCGTACAAAACCATTTACTTTTTGTCTGCTTTTGTTTTTGACTTTTGTTAAATTGCCGGGACATGTGAACATTTGTTTCTTTATACTATTAAAGATTATTGTTTGTCCTTAAAATGTGTGCTATTTTTCTAACACCAATTGTTGTTTTTGAAGCTTTCTATACACTGTAAAAACCTTGTGTTTGTTCTGCAAAGCGAAGCACAGGACAGCTTAAGTAAAAACACTCATAAAGCATCTGTTGATGGATTGGTTATTCCCGAATTCCACTTTGGGTATTTTGTACAGGGGAACATATTTTCAAGATTCAAGATTTTTATTTGTCACATGCTCATACAGATGTGCAGTGAAATGTAAAGACTGTTCCGCAAGGCCATGCAATAACACTCAAATTGCTAATACACATGTACAGTCAAATAGAATATAATGTAAAATTAAAAAACATATATATATATTTGAATATACAAAATATAGAATAATGTAAAGTGTCAAAGTGCAATGTGCAGGTTGGAATGTGTGCTATGTGTGCATCATGTAATCACAGTTCTGTTTTTAACTGAGGAGAGTGGAGTTAACAGTCTAGACAGCCTGAGGAAAGAAGCTGTTCTTGAGTCTTGATGTGTCGAAGGCGCCTGCCAGAGAGTAGCCACGTTTAATTGTTTCTACCTTGCTTTTTTTGACAACACGTGGCTCAAATTCACTCATCCTGCTCTATTATTGAAATGATAGAGCTACCTACTGTAATCAGTATAAGATACGTTTTAAAACCCTTATTCAAAATTTGTTTGACGGCAAACAGCAACGTTTTGGAGCTCTTTTCGGTTATGCAATGTACCTGGGCATAGGCGTGTTATACGTGCATAGGATAGGATAGGATAATACTTTATTGATCCCTAGAGGGGAAATTCGAGCGCTCCAGCTGTACAGACAAGAAAGCTCAAAATACACATTCAACAGAATATATAAGATAAATAAAAAAATACAAATAAAAACAGAGGGTATATACAGTACAAAATGAATGATGAAGTTAACTATGCAGGGAATTGAGACAGTATTTGCAGAGAATGACAAGATAAAGTGACAAGTGATGATTAAAGTGACTCGGTATGATAAATAGCAGCAAGTAATGTAAACAGCAGAGGAGAGAGGCAGTGTTGTACCACAGTAATGCAGAGTGCAGTTATATAATATAGTGCAATATGAACAATATAGTGTAATATAATGAAATGTTATATAATATAGACTAATAATAGAATAATATAGAATGTACAGTATATATGTATATATATATTGATGCTAAATAATAATAATACAGTGTTAGTAATGATCATAATAATGAAGCAGGTCATGTGGGTAGTGTTTTTTTATGGGGGTGAAGTTTTAGAGTTTTAAAGTGCGACGTGATAAAAAATGAATCTTGTTTTATGCAGCTAAAATAAAATTGATAATAAAAAAAAATAGTGGTTGGCATCAACTTGCCCAGCCTGTCATGTAAAACGTATGGAAGCCCATTTCCGCCAGTAAAAAAAATAAAAATGAAAATAATAAAGTCTCATAATTTCATAATTTTATCATATTATTTTGACTTATCTCATTATTATGCATTTATATCACCTCATTTCGACTTTTTATCTCATTATTATGACTTTATATCTCATAATTCTGACTTTATATCACATTATTATGACTTTATATCTCCACTTTTTATCTCATTATTATGACTTTATATCTCATAATTATGACTTTATATCTCATAATTATGACTTTACATATCATAATTTCCACTTTTTATCGCATAATTCTGACTTTATTATCTCATTATTATGACTTTATATCTCATAATTCTGACTTTATATCACATTATTATGACTTTATATCTCCACTTTTTATCTCATTATTATGACTTTATATCTCATAATTATGACTTTATATCACATTATTATGACTTTATATCTCCACTTTTTATCTCATTATTATGACTTTATATCTCATAATTATGACTTTACATATCATAATTTCCACTTTATATCTCATAATTCTGACTTTATATCACATTATTATGACTTTATATCTCATAATTTCCACTTTGTATCTCATTATTATGACTTTATATCTCATAATTCTGACTTTATATCTCAATTATGACTTTATATCTCATAATTCTGACTTTATATCACATTATTATGACTTTATATCTCATAATTTCCACTTTGTATCTCATTATTATGACTTTATATCTCATAATTTCCACTTTATATCTCATTATTATGACTTTATATCTCATAATTCTGACTTTATATCACATTATTATGACTTTATATCTCATAATTTCCACTTTGTATCTCATTATTATGACTTTATATCTCATAATTTCCACTTTATATCTCATTATTATGACTTTATATCTCATAATTTTGACTTTATATCTCAATTATGACTTTATATCTCATAATTCTGACTTTATATCACATTATTATGACTTTATATCTCATAATTTCCACTTTGTATCTCATTATTATGACTTTTTTATCTCATAATTATGACTTTATTATTTTAATTTTAATTTTTTTAACTGGCGGAAATGGGCTTCCATAAAAAAAGTAACCGTTTAATAAAAAAATAAAAATAAAATAAAAAAAGTGCTTAATTGTTGGTTACAAGTCGAAGTGAACGGGAACCCAACGCTAGGTGGTGCTGTGGTGCGTCCACGACAGAGAGGCGGGAGTACCGTGTGTGGCCTCCGCTCCAGCACACATCGTAGCCCAGCCCCCCTCCCTCCCCACACACACACACACACACACGCCAAACCGGCCTGCCTCGGCTCCACAAGGGGAGGGATGCGCGGCAGTTGCGAGAAGCTCTACCTCTCGCTGATTTTTTTCCCCCTGCGTCGCAGTGAAATAACATTTTACTTGGCAGCTTTTCTCGGATGCTGCCACGACACAAAAAATCGGAAGAAGGTTTTTTCGTGTGTTTCGTTGACGCCGGTGTTTCGTTAACGTCCGCTCCGCACAAAGGCGCCCAGTGAGCGACGAGCCGATGGGAGCTAACGGCTACTAGCGTGCTAACAACACAGCCGGTGAGGAGGACGAGCACATCCTCGTACACAGCCATACCCGGTGGTGGTGGTGGGGGGGGTTAATCTCTGCTGACTTCGTGGGTAATGTTAGCTGTTGTGTCGTAGTATTTTTATCCCACACCTATGTCAGGCGTCACTCATGACTAAGACAGTTAAATCAACATCTCCGCATAGCTGGGTCGCTGGCTGCATTTTTGTTGTTGTTGTTTGTTAAGCTAGCCATGACAGAGCTTTCGGTCTCATGTAAGGGAGGATGTCGGCGGTAGCAAAAACAAGCTAACTTTTACTCTGTGAAGAAGTGAGTGCAGGAGTTCAGGATACTCTTCATATCTCTCTCTCTCTCCCCACCACCACCATTCGGGTTCATGTTATTTTTGTAATTCCGGGTTTTGGATGACGCGAGTTGACGATCCTGCAGCAACACCTGAACTGAAACTGGAAATATCGGGGAACACACATCGAGGGGATTATTTTTGTGTCTCTTAAGTGGATTTTCGGCCTCATGTCCAGGATCGCAGTTGGGACACAGTAGATAATTTGACACTGGGTGAAGCCCCTCTCTCTCACCCACCGACCTCTCTCTCCCCCCCCCACCACCACCACCACCACCACCTCTCCCGCTGCTTCAAGCCTCCGATGCGGAGATTTCAGTAGCACCGGCAACCCAGTTCCCCTCCGGCGGCCGGACATGCTGAAGTGTATCCCCCTTTGGCGCTGCAACCGCCACGTCGAGTCGGTGGACAAGCGGCATTGCAGCTTGCAGACAGTCCCCGACGAAGTGTTCCGCTACACCCGCAGCCTGGAAGAGCTTCTCCTCGATGCCAACCAACTCAAAGAGCTACCAAAGGTACGCAAGCAAGCCTCCTGACTTCCCGTGTGTCACCGTGCATGTGTATTCTTCCTGTGTCACCCTATGGATGGTTAGGTGTCTTAACTGGTAACATATCAACACTGTGTCACACCACACTTTGATTTAAGGTAGTCTGCATTAACCTATTTGACAAATCATGTTATAGTTAGGAGTTGATCTACTTCATGCTCAGGGGGAACAGCCCTGACCAAAACGGCTCTGGCACACAACACATTGCCCATAGTAATAGCATCGGTGGCCAGTTGGATTGCATGCAGTGTAGGAAGGCATGTGTGGAATGAATTGCAACGATGTCCCCACCCACACTCCCGCTACTTGAATCATGACAAAATTTCCTAAGCGTTTATTTTAAGGGGTGCAGAGCTGTTGTGGGTCTGTTTTTCCTTCAAAGTGTCCAGAGTTCTGGAGTACTCGGCGGCTGGACTGTCTCGTTGTTGTATTCAACATGACATTGTTCATTATGAGGACAAGGCATTGGCCGTGGTCATGATGGAGAAAGGAGTTTGTGCAGACTAGTTAGCAGTAGGCGACATTGTCCGACTGTCGCTTGTCATGGCTTTAGCTTATGGTGAAAGGGACAAGTGGCACACTCACCAATGAAGATTGTTAACAAGCCTTGGTCAACAAAGGCTGGAGTGTTGACGCAGGGCTGCCTGTTACCTTCTGGGAATGACAAACAATAGAACTTTCTTGTGCACGTTCCAGCAATGGATGCATTTTTGTTAGAAAATAAAGTGCCCCTAATTGCTTTGACATGTCTTAGTTTTTACACATAAGAGTACTTGTTTTAGATCAGTCCCCTCTGAGTATGTTTGATAAAAGATTGCTTTGTGCATAAAAACTCTGGGGACATACAATTAACTCTTGCCTTAAGTCCCCTTTCCTATTTGGACAAAGAGCTACTCATTAAGACACACATACATACAACTGTTTATAAATATACTAGCCAAAGCTGTCGCAGAATTAGCATAAATGACAGGATTGAGTATTTGCAGTGATGCCAAAAAAAAAACAAAAGAGCGAGCTACACAAAATTATGCTGTTTTCAAAATAAATATCTGTTTCAGAAACAAAGCATATCAGTAGGAAAATCAAACCAAGCTGTTGCTAACCCGTATCTCTTGTGTTTATTTAGCTTGATTTTAGGATAAGATTCATTTAGTGTTGCTTTCAAACATTTAGAGGGTAGTATCTCAAAAAACAAGTTAAAAGACTATTAAGAAAGCAATGACCGTGTGATGTTGTTCACAAGACTCCAGAAATAAAATTGTTCTTGGTGCATTCTTCAGTGAATGTAAGGACTTCTCTTGGTGAAAAAAAACAAACAAAATAGAAAGCAAAGTCTGACTTGCCTTAGAAGCTTACAGATTTTGCATTTCATCCACTTAGCTCATACCTGTCAGATTCCCACAGTGTACCTGGTGCACAGCCCCTGAAACACAGAGTGAAGGATACACCGAAACACTCTGGCGCAGACAGCTAAACCGCCAGTCTATCCGTGTGGTGCAGGCTTCAACCAGGAGACATAAATGCATGGTGACAGAATGTCTCGTGTGGTCGCTGTGAATGCGTAGCGTGCAGACACAAAGCGTACGGGCCCTCTCTGTGGTCCTCAGAGTCAGCGGGGCTCCTGTGAGGGAGCGGTGTGAGAGGTCATGGCTGGACAGGGTTGGGAACAAGGGCACTGACTGTATGTTGAACAGCATTAATATAATGAGCTCATAAGTGAGTTAGAGTCTGAATGCCTTTATGCATGAGCTCCTTCCCTTTGACTGTGTCATCAAGTCAGAGATGAGTTTGTGCAGTCAGTCGTCAGCTATTTTTAGATGTCAATCAAGCAATCTAGGGTCATTTTGCTTATCACTTCATGCCATGCATTTATGACCAACACAACACTGTACAAAATGTGGCTTTCCAATTGGCTACACCATCATGTACAACATATGTTATAAAGACTAATCAGCTCAGAGGTGAGACCTTCACAAACTGTCACAGGAATACAGTCAAAAGCAAAACAATCAAAATATGATCCACTTAGATGATAACTTGTTTGGAATAAATAATACATAATAAATCAGTTCAGGTGTAGTGAGTTATTTAGTGTGGTGCTGCTAGGTGTGGATAGGTTGACATAGTATTTGTAGGGGTTTAACATGAACAGATGGAGATTTAGTCGTCCTGACAGTTTCTTAAGTTTACTGTGACTCACCCCCACAGCACTGCCCACCAATCTTGGATTATACCCTCTGCAGTAGTAATGTCTCCATTTGCCACATGAAGAACAATTTAAGTTAGTAAAAAAAAAAAAAAGAAATGGCGAATGACTGCTTGTTTTCGACAGATTTAGAATGAGATTGTATCCGTGCAGTGATAGTACAACATAAAAACAGCAGCCAAAGAAGAATGACTTATCCGGGTAGAAAGAGTTTAGACACCCTGTGAAGTAGCAGCTGGTCAGGAATTCCCCTCATGCACGTACATCTTCAGCTGTTAATGCTGCATTGTAGCTCTGTTTTTTTCCCCCTGGCAATAATAAGTCTTTCTTAAGGGTCATTTGTTTCGATTTCTGGATGTTCAATTTGGAAGCTTGATCCAAAGGCAACTGTGGCCTTTGGATCAAGCTTTTAATTAACCATGAGATCCTCCACAGACATCATTCAGGATTTTCACTTTGTGAGTTTTCATTTCACTGACAAGGAGACACAATTTTCTTTATACGTGTATTCTGTCAAAGATTAAAAGGTTGCCTTGAAAGTCTGGTTTAAAGTACAATCTTCACAGTCAATATTTGCCGATACAGCAGCTAGGTTTGTAGTCAAGTAATCTGAACTTCTCCTTAGACAAATGTTTTCCTGACATATCCGCCGCCAGCACCGAGGGGCCACGCGGCCTCGGGTGCGGGGATCTCAAAACCGGTAATGATCCTTCCGCAGGTTCACCTACGGAAACCTTGTTACGACTTTTACTTCATATATATAAAGATCCAAAATGCTTAAGATGTACACAAAGTACACTTCGAAAAAACTAGCCCTGCCTTGAAGATCATGTTGAGGAAGAGGGAATTATCTTTTTAGCATTCTGAAGTCCCATGACAAGTTACAAAGAAGGCCATTCACAGCACTGATTGCCCCCCTTCTCTCAATCATATCCAATGTCATCGCGCTTTGTGTGCACTGCACTGCCCTGACGAGGCGTACATTTAGTCTGCATGCGTATCATGACCCAAGATTTGTTGTAGGTCAGTTCCACCTGCTGAAAAGTACAAGGTTACCTTTTCTTGGAGCAAATGGGCTGCAGGTGCATTACACAAAGAAGAAAATCCAGCTCTAACACACATCCCAGGACATGTACCTGTTTCCTCGTTGTGATAGGGAACAAATCCCTGATGGGTGTGCCCTCCTCATCAGACTTTGCAAAACTGGTTTTATGCATGTCACTCCCAGTATTTTTACGTACTAAGACCTTCCATGTAAACATGATATGTTACGGTTGGATTTCCTATCCAAACACTTGACACAAGCAAACAAGAGAACTGCCACATCAAATATCTGGAAATATACAGCATAACTGCTATCAACGGCTTCCTCCCCATTCATGAATGTCCCCTCCTAATTGGAGAATGAGTTCTGTCGTTCTGTGTTTGAAAAAAAAAAAAAGAGGAAGTATATGTGAATGTACAGTAGGAAAGATGACTGTGCAATCTTTTTAATCCTCAGATGTCACCAGTGACCTGTGTGTGTGCGCTTACAGATCTGTGGCTAAAGGGCAGATTAGGGCTTCACTCGGCCATGAAAATGCCCCTCAGCCCTACTTTTTTTTTTTGAACCTCCCCCTTCTTCATACAGGCTAATGCTTTTCAGTGTATGCGTCCTCTGGGATCCACTTTTCTGCCATTTGCGTCTTTTCAAGCACATAAATGCACTGATAAAAATCTGACTGCCTTTCTCTCTATTCCCTTGTGTATGTTCTCCCTCAGGTCAAAAGTAACCCAAATTAGGCCCCTTCAGTCAGCTCTTGCTCAATGTGAATTGGTCTAGCATTGTTTCGCCAAGTCTTAATACTCAAGTGTGTCTCTGTTTTGTTTGATTTTGTTATTTAAAGGATGGTGCAGTGTAATTGAGAATTGATGATGATCAACCCGTGGTCCTTATAATTCCTTAACGATGTGAGGGGAATGCAGCCTGGCCATGCTTTAAAACCAAAAGTTTGCTGCTTACCGTGGAAAGTTTGGTATAAAAATCTAGGACACTCCACATTGTGACCTCGCTGTGTACTGTTGAGCTCTGCAGTTCATCTCCGTTTCCAGTTAACTCTACAGGAGAGCCCTGGTTTGTCTTTCCCCTGTGACTGGCTGAAGTAGGCTAGCACGTAAGATGAATTGCACCTGCCACTGGCCTCTCAGCGGTAAACCACAACGTTCCTCTGGTTCCGCTCTTTCTCTCACTCTTCTGTCCTGCCTGGGGAATGCATTTTTGCTCCAGAGGTACTTTTATACACAAAGTGTTAATGGATCTAAAGTAGGATTTGTCGTGTGACTGTTCTGTTTTTTCACTCCAGATTTCCCAAATTTTTGGTTGTAAGTGACCCCACCCCCTGAAGAGGACCGCTTGGGAGAGAAAAACAGAAGTAGAGGCTGTTATTTTAGGGACTTTTGTAATAAGGCAAACTCTTTATACAGAGCCAGGCTGTATCAGAGTGCCTGAAAAGTGAAAGAGAGGCCATGAAGACACAGCAGTGTGAGAGATCTGGCTTTCTTTTTGATGCAAGAGCACATTCAGCAGGTTTCTTTGTCTGAGCTGATGACCAGCTGGTCTCACATCCTGCCGCCCCCCTCCCCCAAATCTGGTGGGACAGAGGGGGTAAAGGGAGGTGCGTGTTAGTGAGAGAGTGAGTATGCAGTGGTGGGGGGTGTATTTTATTCTGGAGATGGATTAACAGGAGAAGGGGGGCTGTGGCACCTACACTAGAGGAAGGGA